TATTCAGATGCAAAGTCTTGCCAGTTATCGGTTAAAGCGGCTCTGGGAATGGAGCATGAATTCCCTGGCACTTCCAACTGCCATGTGAGTGGAAAACTGTAGTCAAGCAGCAAAAGGAAGCCCTTAGGCAAAGAAGCGCAGATGTTGGACTGTAGGACTGCGTACACCGAAGTGGTAAAAGTGAGGGATATCAGTAGGTTACCAACAGCGTCTTTCTTCAACATTCTATTATTACAAATAACATTTGCAGTCCCCATAGGACAATGTAAGCTATGTAAGTCCAAATCTTTCTATACACGCTCCAAAAATCAGTCAATAGAGAAAGAAGGAAAAAAACTCACGTAAACCACACTTACAGCATAATGAGGAGACAGAGAATACGACAAACTGATGTGATGGTAAAGTGCTGCCACCTGGCCTCTGCTACTATGAAATCCTACTGTCACCATTAACACCAGGGGGCTCCGTTCTGTAGCTGCATTCCCTACTGTCAACCCTGACACACAAAGGACAGCCACCAGTAGGTGAAAGTCTTAGTAGCTGTCATACTGCAGCATGCAGGGTCTATCACCACTGCATGTGGCACTAACAAATAAACAAGAATGCCGGTACTTAGAAAAAATATACAAAACAGACAAACTACTAGCTAAGTAAGGAAAAAAGGAGAATGAACAAGTACAAGAAAAAGAAGAAAGAGTAGAGAGAGGAGGAGGAGGAGGAAAAGAAAAATAGGAAGAGGAAGAAGTACAAAGGAAAGGAAGGGAGGGAGGAAGGGCAGAAAGGAGAGAAATGACAAGAGGAAATTCTTAAAGGAAAACATTTCAATAATAAGCGACTACTTTAGAGAACTGTGCAAATAAATGTGAACACCTAGATAAGATGAATAATTTCTAAAAATAAAATTTACAAAAGTCGTTATCCTATTAGAGGTAGAAAGCTTAAGCACATCAGTGTTCATACGACAAAGTTATAAAAGACCGTCTTCATAAAAAAGCATCAAATCCATATGGTTTCTTAGAGGAAGTCTACAGATTTTCAAGAGTCAGATAATCCCAATGTTATCTAAATTTTCCAGAGCATTAAAAAGAAAAAAACAGGCCGGGCGCGGTGGCTCACGCCTGTAATCCTAGCTCTCTGGGAGGCCGAGGCAGGCGGATTGTTTGAGCTCAGGAGTTCGAAACCA